TTGAAGGGAGCTCAAGAGGTCACATCTAGTCCAACCTCCTGCTCCAAGCAGGACCAGCCCCAACTACATCATCCCAGTCAAGGCTTTGTCTACCCGGGTCTTAAACACCTCCAAGGATGGCGATTGCACCACCTCTCTGGGTAACCTGTTCCAGTGCTTCACCACCCTCCTCATGAGAAAGTTTTTCCTAATATCCAACTTCAACTTCCCTTGCTGCAACTTGAGCCCATTGCTCCTTGTCCTGTCATCTGCCCCCACTGAGAACAGTCCGTATCCTCTTTAAAAACCCCCTGCAGGGAGTTAGAGGCTGCTATTCAATCCCCACTCAGCCTTCTCCCTGACAACGGCTTGTGGGCAGTTTGGGAGGCATCCCCCTGATACTCTGAGCCAAGGGGGACAACAGGGCTAACCAGGGGAGCAAGGCAGCACCATTTTCTTTTTCTTGCTAGATCATCCTGCCTAGGAAGAGCTGCTGTGCAAGCAGTGAGAGCGACCGGCCTCCCCCTCCTTCCAGAAGCTGTGGCCTTTTCGGTTTCCTTTCCTCATTAGGAATTGGGAGGCTTTAGACCCTTATTGCTTCAGCTGCCACCCAATCAAGCAGAGTGTTTAAACAGAGCAGATCTCATCAATCTCGCCCAGTTTTGCTAAGACATAAGGAACACAAGACCTGCCATTGACTCAGTCAGACCATAGGTCCACCTCGCCCGGTCTCCTGTGTGACAAAGCAGCAGAGAGCAGATGCTGGAAGGGAGTGGACTGGGTCTGACCAGGGTTTTTTCCTCCCTCCCTCTTCCCCTCTCACTTGCAGCCTCCAGCATTTAAGCATCAGTAGCATCACAGGCTCTGTCTGCTGTCACAGCAGACATCTCAGGGACACTTTCTCCAGCCCAGTCCACAGCCTCATCTTGTGAGGATCCTGCAGGTCACTTTGGAATGAAAAAGGAGGAGAGGTTGAACCCACTAAGGGCATCAAACCTTCATGATTTGCAAGCGGTGACTGAGGACTTGCAGTCACATCCAGAGACTTTTCTCAGTGCTTTAACGAATGTTATGATCTCTCTGAGGCATTAGCCTTGCCTTACAAACAGTGAAACAGAGGCAGAGTGTGAAGTCACCGATTCAAAACAGCAGCACCTCAGGAACATGACAGCGGAGACCTCATCCCAGCACGGGTCTGTTCCCCAGTGATGGCCCTGCATATTACATGGGAAACGTGCGTGGTTTTACCCTGGGTAAGAACCAGTTTGTGAGGACTAAAAGGTATGCTTCTTTTTAAACATCAGCCTCAGACACAGAAACCACTGAGAAGTCCGGCTGCAAGGGACCTCCAGAGGTCACATCTAGTTCAACCCCCCTGCCCGAGGCAGGATCAGCCCTGTCCAAACCAGCCCAGACATCCACTGTCTGACCTCTTAGCAAAATGACAGTCACCCCGATACAGCATGATACATCACACCCCACCCTGCCACAGGGAAGGTTGGGGGGCCGCAGTAGCCAATGTCCTGCTTCTGTAAAAGGTTGCTAATATATACTGGAGAGACCCCAAGTAGAGGCCGTGCCCCCGCTACAGAGGAAGACAAACCCCCCAGGCTGTATCAATCTTATCAGGGGGAAAATTTCTTCCCGACTCCAAATGCCAGTCTCACCCTGAGCGGAGGCGCAAGACCCTCTAGCCAGGACCCCGTGGGTTGGTCCCAGCAGCAGTGCTGGCACAGCCCAGTCCCCATCCCCAGCCTGGGCTGCAGCCAGCACCTCCAAGGGAGGCTTAAAACCACCCTGATACATGTCAGAGAAAGGGGGGGAGGGTATAGGGGTAACCAGGAAAGCCCGGGCTCCTGAGACCTCAACTCCCAGCCTCACCTGTGCTCCAGCTATGCTACAAATGTCAGCGAAAGAGAGGATCCCATTCCAGCATGCTGCCCCATTTGCACTATAACCACTCAAGTTTGCAGTATGAGCAGAACCTGCAACTGGGATGACATCTCCAATGTTAGCACACAAGAGGCCTTCTGTTTTTTCAGTTCACTGTGACCTTGATGCAAAGCTGCAAGAGGTCAATGGGAATCCTTCCAGTGACTTGCCTGGGTTTTGAATAAGCCCATGCTAACAAGATGTATGCCTACTTCCTGCCAGCCAAGCGCTAATATGAAAGAAGCCTTTGTCCGGGATAGACAGCTGCACATGGGCCCAAGAATGTAAATGTTTAAAGGATCTCTCCACACGCCCAGATCCTTTTCCGTGTGAACTCACTCCATCGCATTTTAATTGCTTTTGGCTTGGGCTTTATTTCTCCTTCAAGTCATCATCAAGTTATACTCAGGCCCTGAAAACTTCACTATTCCACCCCTGAGCACATTTACCTAACCTAGCCAGGGAGCTGTCACCAGCCATGTGCTAGATGCAACTTCCCACCATGCTTGGACTATCTGCACCCTGAATCATATTATATGTCATAATTGGTCTAGACTGTTCTCGTAAAACAAGACCAGAACTATAATTCTGGTGAGGGACTAAATGCTCCTCAGAGACTTCAGCTCTACTGAATTGATCTCGTGATGCACTGGGCTCCGTTTTCTCTCATCCCTCTGGGCTCTCCTATCACACCCACCATGGTGGTACCCGTGCTCTGGAGCTGTGAGGCTGGAGAAGGAGCACCCGAGCAGAGAGGGGTCAAGGTGTTCTCCGAGCGCTCGTGGAATCAGAACTAGCTTGTCTGGGAAATGCAAGGGGAGGGTTGAAGTGTACAACAACAGGCAGAGGACTGGGACACTTAGGAGAAGTGTGCTCCTGGAACACCAAAGTGTGTGCTGGGTGGGATTTCTCAGAAGAGTGGGTCAGCGGGAGAACGCATGGACAGAAGCCCCATCTCACCATGGCAGGGCTGCCTCTGATCCCTAGTGCTCCAGTATGCATTTAAACCCTGCCTATGAAAACCAGGAAGCAAGAACTGGTGCAAAAGGGAGCTCCCATTTCAGGAAGTGCCAAGACTCAAATGCGTCTCAGGAATCTGGGCTGTGCGCTCAGTGGGAGTGGCTGGTTAATCATACTGGTGGTCTCTAGCTCATTGAACGGTGGTTGTGTTATAGCACACAGTGAGGCTAGTGGATAAAGCCATTACTCACGCTTTCAATGAATCCCCCACGGAGGCCCCTATAACAGAGTGGGTAAGTCATCACCACCTTCTTGAATTCCAGTGACAATGCAAAGGAGAGGGGAAGGGGGGAAAATAGGAGCAACTCCACCTTTCTCTGGAAGCCAGCAGTAGAATCAGGTCAAGGGGCACAAGAGGAGGAGAGAAAGGTTGCATATACTTCTAAGACCAGCCATAAGGCTGGTAAGGGCAGCTGGCACTCATATGTCCAGAAATGTCTGTGTGACTGTTTATGCTGCCTGGAGGTATATTTTCACATTGGCCTAAATGAAAAACTAGCATTTTGGAAATGCTGTGCGAGAGCCAGACTCTGGCTGAGGGACTAGAGACAGACAGTGGCTGGGTGACCCCTGAAGGGAGTATGGCACCAAAGGACCCATAATGCAGGAGAAGATCACTGTGCATCTTTCCCGAAATGTGGATACATAAAACGCGATGTACAGAAGAAAGGGGCAAGCCCTGCGGTGCAGCCCCAGTGCAAAATGCTTTCACAGAGAGTATCAGAGCCATGGATCTAGTTTAGCGCCTGCCCTTTCAAGACGGCAGGGGCTGCCAGAATCATGAGGGAAGCACATCCAGCCCTTGTGACCACCATGTAGAGCAGCATGGAGGGACCCCGGGAAAGGGAACTGATATGGAAAAGCATAACTGAGAGGATAGGGAGACACTGTATCTGCTCTGTCTCCAAGGCAGACTGGGAAAGGGAAGGTGTAAGAGTGTAGCTGGGCTTTGCCAGGAAAGGAAAGCAGTGACCACACAGCACAAGGCCATCCAACCCCCCCCTCCCCACCCCAGCCCCTCCTGCTTATATACATGGGGCCAGATGCTACTCGGGCACCTGAGTGTGATCCTATCCACCCTCCTCAAGTCCTTGAAAGCCAGTTACTGCCAAAGACATAAGACACAAAGGCCCCTTTGTGCAACTCTGTCTTAAGGCCAGCAGGAGGTTCACTGCAAGAGTAGGTGCATTAATGGCTTGTCAGGGGCTTGAGCAGGGCAAAGCAGGACCACACTGGATCTGCGGGGTAGGATACAGCCGCAGCATGAAGGAGTGGCATGCCTGGCCAAGGCCCCTACCTGCTCCAGCTCCTGCTCCGCGTACTTCTGTCTGCTCAGCTCATTCTCGGTGCCCTCGCGCAGCTCCCGGAGCCGGTGGGCCTCCTGCTTGGCGATGCTTATCTCGTCCTGCAGCTTCTGCTCCAGCGTCACTTTCTCCACCTCCACCGTGCGGTGTTCCTCCTGAGCCTTGTGCAGCCTAAGGCAAGGAGGAGACACAGGGAGTCAGGAGGGCCAGCAGAGCTGGCTTGTGCTTGGCTGAAGGAGACGTCTCGTCCAGAACAAACCGCAGCATTCCAATAAGCCTAGGTATGCACGTGAGCATGTACAATGTGTGGTCAAAGCCAGCTCTGCTTCTGTTTATGCTGAAAGCAAGGGAATTACGCTGCCATAAATTCAGAGGGAGAGAAAATCTGACTACAGACCGTGGCACTGAAACTCCCCCATTAGGAAAAACTCCAGGGAAGCTTCACTGTACATGGGAAGAAACTAAATAATCCACTTCTGTTTCTTGGCCATGTTTACTTTGACATCCCAGAAGGGCACAAGCCACAGGCTCGTTAAATAAGATGCAAACGTCTTTCATTCTTCTACTTATTCACAGAAATCTAGAACAGCCTGTCATTAATCAGTGCTAATCTCCTTCAAGGAGATAACGCCGTTGGTTTAACCAGTCTTGGAATATGCACGTGTGTATATGCAAGCAAGACATGCTTTCTTACTCCATTTCTCACTTTCTAACAACCGACTCGCTGTTAAGGAAAGCCGTGATTTTGAAATGTGTGTTCAGTTGTTGCCTCTGTCCCAGGGATACATGTCATCATGAAGACTGTGAAAAACCACAGAGCCAAGATACTGCCAGGAAGAGACCATACCAAATGGAAAAGGCCTCCTGAATCAAGCAGAGATGAGCAGAAAAAGAACTAATGGCTGGACGCTGAAATGAGACTATTAGAAATGTTTCTTGCCTCCACAGCAGCAGGATTTACCACTGGCGCTGTTACAAGGGCAATGGTGGACTCTGTCTCAGGGGGCCTTGAGCTCCGGATGAAATGCTTTCCTAGAAGCCAAGCTTTAGCAAAAGGGGCAGCTGTCAGGCCTGGGTCCTGCCAGAAATGGACTAAATGATCCAGTGGTCCTTCTGGACTGTAAATCGTTGAGTTCCTTTCCAAAGCTGGAGGATCAACAGCTGCTGGGCCCAAGAGCAGTGTTTAAACAGCTAAGCGAGGCACCTCTGGGCAGTCCTGTGCCTTGATGGCGTAGGGCAGGTTCTGCTCCCAGCTTAAACAGCCCTTTCTATTAATCCCCTGTATTCTAGCCAGGTAGTTTCCTCTTTTGATTTGGCAGGAGCATTACGATAACTCCAGGCATTACACTAAAAGCTTTGTGAGGTCAGGTGTGCTAAGCTCAGCTGTTCAAACCCTTACTGGGCTGAAGCACAGAGATTCAGGTAAGCCACCCTGCACCCCCAGTGCATCAAGGGAGGGGTGCTCTCGACACACCCGATCCACCTGCCAATACAGTGGTGAAGCCTCTTTGGAGGTGTTGGTCTCTGTGTGTGGCTATAAGTGGCTTCACCACTTTGTTTCCAGGTCCAGCACGTGGGCGCAGGCATTGACGGAAGAGGTGTGCTATGGGGCTACCACCTCTGGACATGTTGGGGACACATTTTTGGCAGGAGCTAGGTGGGAAAATGCCACAGAAGTGGACCGCAACAGAACTTTTAAAAAAATCCAACCCTGATCAATCAGCTCAAAAGGAAACAGAAGCATTTCCAGGAACTGTCTCTGCTCATTCAGGGGAGCCAAGCCCAGAACCCTAGTCCTGGCTTATGGCTATTTAACAGTGATTTCAAGAGGAGAAAAGTGATGGGGAGGTATCTGCGGCATCACATCTTTGAGATGGCCTGGGTTAAACTAAAATCAGAAGCAAGGATATGTGCCCCAGCTCCTAGCAACCTTGGCTGGAAGGGGGTTCCAGTAAGTAATGGACTTCCGAGGGTGGGAGGAAGCAAAGCAGATGTTTATCACAGTATTCAGCACACGCACCTAACTATCCATCTCCACAGCTCTACCCAAGGGTAAAGTACTGTTTGCCTTGTGCCTGCTCCAGAGAGGAGATCTCACAAAAAGCCCACGTGAGGAACTGGGCCTAGAAACTGTTAAAATCATTCTGAAAAGTTACTATGAACAAACCAGCCCATCCTTCAGAGACAGGTGTTGGAGGGCGGCAGTGCAATCAAGAGACACCACTACGACAAGACTGGTCCCCGAGGGGTCAGCCATGGCCCTGCCAAATGGATCTGGATGGGCCGTACTTTCTTCAGCCCTTTTGCGGCTGTGCGGCTGGACACGAGTCAATTTGCAATTTACAGTTCTGCCGAGACGCAGAAATGTTTTCATTCCTAATTAGGAAAGGATCCTGCCGAGACATTCCAAGTGTGGAGACAAACCCACGCTCTCTGCCCTCCGGGGCTCATCACTCCATGTCTTCTGTGCTGGGTTATCAATACCATATGTGTATCCGAATGCCCCGCTTGAAGGGGACATTCCTCTGCAGAGGGGTGCTTGTGTCACTGGGGAAAGCGGGTGGGGGGCAAGCCGTAGTCTCTCTCTGAGTCAGATCAGGTATCAAGCCTTAATATTTCTCTGAGCCAGGAGTCCTACAGCTTTCACCCCCCACCCCACCCTTTCATTACTCCTGGGTCTTTAAAACACAAGCATCATTTCCTCTGATGTCTATGGGGGTGCAAACGAACTCCCCCACATATTCACATCAGCGAATTCAATGCCATTTCACTCCAGGGTGTTTCCACCGAGTTCAGCAAAGTTGTTCTGGATCTGTCTTAGCACAAGTGCAGGGAACCAAAGCCCACTATCTGCAGAGGTAACTTCACATGCACTGGTAGGAGGATGCACTGTGATGTGCGCTTTTGTAAGCAAACATGTTGCCCCTTTTTTTGCCTCTGTTAAGGGGTATGGACAACTGACTGGAAACAGTCGTTGTGAAAGGATCTCCCTTCAAAGGCCCTACCGGAGAACAGAGCTTGGCTTTCTTGCTTGTGTGATCATAAAGGCCTTTACGGGGTTTTAAATTGCGTAAGTGTGGAATGAGGAAAGAGTCTTAAACATGAAAACAGGCACATGGAGAACGCGAGTCAGCCATGCTGTGGAGGGAGCCATGTGGGGGGCTTCTCCCACCAACCGGTGAGAGAAAGCAGCGTTAACCCCTTTGGAAACTGGATCTACTCTGTGAGAAAGTGACATGCCAAAAACAGTACAAGCCAGACTCTGGCCGAGCCAGGAGCTGAACCTTCATCTGCCAACTCCTAGGTTCGGCTCCTGGCTTGGCCACAGTCTTGCTCGTATAGTTCAGTCCCAGGAACTGAACCTTCATCTGCTTCCCCACCAGACAGTCCTTCCTGCCCAAGCACTGCAGACATGTCACTGGCAGCGCTCTCAAGACCTCAGCTATGCCTGGCACGCATGACTTCCAGTTTCTTCCTGCCTGGCTTCAGGTAACAGAAGCGAGAGGGCCCAGGCACTTCTGCTTATTTACGTCATCCTGTTCGCAGGGACAGATCCCAAGGTCACCTTGGAGATGGTGTGAATGGGAAGGTCTTCAGCTTACAGGATGGCTTACTTCTGAATGCTGCCTGGGAAGTCAGCTGTTCCCTCAAGTTCTGGATTCAGAGGGATTTTCTAGAGCAGGGCTATCACCCTCACTGAACTTTGATAAGTGGCATGGGTCCGCAGACCAGCTCCATGCACCAGATCTAGCACGTGGCCCTGGATGCCACATACAGCACGTGCTCCAGATCAACTGCAAACATTGGTCCAGGGCATGCAGTGTGCGGGTTCAGTCCAAGACACAGGCAGCACCACATGCCAGATGGCAGCTCCGCATGCCAGCTGCATCTCCGGCACCCCTGCCCTTGAGTGACTGTTTCAGTAGGCAGCCAAGCTTTTACGCAGGAATCCCCATTGCCTTCTGGCTGGAGAGAAATCTCTTTCTGTTGGGAAATGGCCAACCTAGCGGTGGTAAAATTATACAGGACTTTTGACAGGTGATTTGCTGAGCTGAACTGGCGGCCTTTCAGACACAGGAAACGTAGTTTTTCCTATCTGTCTGTTTCAGGAACAAAGCCGGTCATATGTCTGCATCACCCATAAGGGAACGTGAAGTTTTGCACCATCATCCCAATACCCTGTCAGCTCTTTCCTTCCCAGTGAAATCATTGTACTCAAACTACTTGACAAGAGAAGGCTCTCAGCACAACACCATGAGCAAGGTTATTCTTGGACGCCTGTCATGAGAAGATAGGCAAGAGAGCAGGCTCCAGGACTAAACATGTTTATGGCACTCTTTCCAAGGGCTGAAGTGTTTGCAAAAATCTTCACTGCAGGTTTACATTCCTGAGATGCTGGGACAAGTGCCGGCACCTCTCCACACCACTCCTCAGCAGCTAGCGCAGGCAACGGGGGCCTGACTGCCCACAATGAAGTGGTTGGGAATGTAGCCATCTGCTTCTGTGGCAGCTGGATTGGCTCTTTAGCTTTGGAAATGATATTCCAGATACAAGTGAAAACGACGAAAACTGCAGTCTGCAAGACTCTTTAAGGAAATGACAAAATGCCATGTCAAAAAGTAAATGAGGAGATTGTCACTGGTAACACTCTGGATGACCTTCCTCCCCAAAAAAGCTGTGCCCATACAGACCCTGATCTGGCAAGCTTTTCTCACGTAACACCACTGGAATCAACATCTTTGCATTTTGCCAAAAAGAACAAATGAAACATTTCTGTGATGAACGAGAGACCGAGTTCAACTATTCCTGTTCAACAGTCCAGCACTGGGAGGGCTTCATATTTTTAACTCTTCCCAGGAAACCCTATCTGGGATTTGGTTATCATTGTGCTGTCAGGGAAGGGGTTGCTACTGAGGAAGAGAGATGTCCAAATCTCATTTCTACCAGATTGATGCACTTCCTCCCACCAGCCAAGAGAGCTATGATATAATCTGAGTCCGTCCTTCCAACAGAGTCCAATTACGTTTTATTCTTTTCTAAGCCTCTTTCTTTTTGCAGGAGCAGAGCTATTCAGTCACTTTAAAGCAAAAGGAGAAGAATCTGCTTTCTCTCCTTTGTGCTGACAGAGGGAAGCCGGAGCCGATCAGCACCTTCGCTGCTGAAGCACAGGAAAGCGTGGTGCAACAGCAGCAAAATTCCCACTTAAAAATGGAGGTGCTTAAGCGCAGAGGTGATAAACCGGTATCACCTGCAACAGGGAGCCCTCCATCATTCCGGCTATGATCTGGAGTGCTAGCAGTTGTTTTAATTCCCAAATCACCAAAGCTCCCATTTAAAATATTTTTAGGACTTATTTTTTATTGTTAGACACCCCAAAGCTTTTTGGCGAGCAACTAACCAACCAACGTACATAAATTAAATCTGGGAGTAACCAGAGGGCTTGGGGAGAGAAACAGGCTTTTTACAACTAAAAAGCTGAAAGGCATGGTAAGCCGACTGAAACATCCTCAAAATTAATTCCTTGGAGATGTGTGGGAAATTACACCGCAGCTGGAATTTAGAAAGCAACACAGACCTCAACATGATTAGTGGAAGATAAGGTGAGAGGCATCATCATTCAGGCTTAGCTACCCCTGAGCGTAACTCTGCTCTGTTATAATGCATCAGACACTTGCGCCCAGTGTTTCCAGTTCAGCAGAGTGGCTTTATGTGACTCTGTAATGTGAATGAGGCTGGTTCTGGCCTTCCAGCAGCCCATTTGGCACAGCCCATGTATAAGTGACTAGTGCATTTCCTGCAGGAGCTGGGAAGGCTGGGATAAGCCCAAAGCTGACCTGATGAACACGGTGCTAGGCTCACTCAGTGACTAAGCAAGCATGCCAGCCACCCTGACTGGCTAGCAGATTTATCACGGTGACCCAAGAAGGCCATGGCTGATATCCAGCAGGGATCAAGTGATATATGTGAAGCACAAGAGCTGGAGAGAGCATGCATGCTTTGTTGAGGACATATGGCTACAAACCCGAACTTCCAGAGGAGACCCACAGCTGGTGGCTAAGTGGACAGGGAAGACTCACCTCTCTTGCAGGTCATGGAGACTTTGCTCTGCTCTCTGAAGTCCTTCTAGGTCTTTCATCATCTTCTTCATGTGCTCCTTTGAGTAGCGATTCTGGATGAAGGCAAACCAGCATCCACCCACTCCAATGACAATGGAAATCACCAGCAAGAAATCCTTTAGGTGGTTATGACGAGTTACTGGTGGGGGGCGGAAAAAAAAAGTAACAGGATATTGTTTAATTCCAAGAGGGAAAGATGAAGATCTTCTTTTCAATTGTTTCTTTGCACAATGGGAGAAAGAAGAGGTAATTAAAAACAGCGTAAGAAAGAACCATGGCTCTAGAAACTTGGAAGTCAGGGAGAACTGATATCAATCCACAACTATCGGCCTCTCGAAACTAGCAGACAACTGTTACCTAACCTAAACAGATGAGCCCAAAGCAATGCCAGATATGAAGGTGAAATCCCACCAGTCTCTCTGACTACATGTCCAGTGATCACGATGGCAGGATGCAAAAATCTTTAATTTAATGGAGGATGACCCAGCAACATGAAAGACTCTATATACATAGCCATATCCATATGCAAAGTCATCAAAACAGATGTTCTCCTCTGAGGAAAAACAGATTGTAAATCATGAGAAAGGCGGGGAGACAATATTCTCTGCTAAGATCTGGATATGAAAAACTTCCGCAGGATTTTAGGAAACCCAGTTTCTGCCTTGAAACGCTCAAAGCACTCAGATACTATAGTGACAAGGAGTTATATGCAATTTTAAGAGAGATAAAGAGGTCTTCATTAGATCGGACACTAATTCACCAGCTCTTAGCTGGATCTCACAGCTTAAACCTTTGCTATGTGAGCACAGATCATCACCACAGTGCAGCATCCAGCCACACACAAGGTCAGGGGCTGTTTTCATACACATTTTTAAAAGGTCCTAGAGAGATTCTTGTGAGGGTTTCCAGAGACAGAGATTTTAGACTTTGATCAAATGGGGTGAGGTGACCACCCAACATTATTTCAGTTTCCTGTTGTGCCTGTGCATGCACCACTTTTTGGAACTTCAGAGCAATTTGTACTGAGACACCTGAAAGGAAAGGGAAAGATTTGGGGAAGTTTGCCGCTGATAACCATTGCTTTTCTTTCCTCACCACAGCAACAGATCAGTCCTGTCCATACTGATCCAGTTTTGCTGTCTGAATGACAGAGTAGCATGAGCCAGATATCACATCACAGGGGAACTTGGGATCAGGGCTACCTGAACAGGACTCTCTTTCCCCTCTGTTGGCTCTGTTATTATTTGTATGAGTGATGTGCAGTTCAATCCTAGTATAAGGGCACTGAGGGTTTTCTAGCAGCAAAACAAACCAAAGAGCCTGGGACCAGGACTTCTGCAAGAAACCAAGGAAGGACTGGTCAGGGGGGATCAGAAGGCATTGGGGGAGTCACTGTTCCCCCCAGCACAGCTAGGAGTGACCAGGAACAACGGTCACAACCTAGCAGAGGGTAGTTTTAGGTTAGACTTCAGAAGGCGCTATTTCACGGTCAGGGCGGCTAGGGTCTGGAACCAACTTCCAAGGGAGGTGGTGCAGGCTCCTACCCTGGGGGTTTTTAAGAAGAGGTTAGATGAACACCTTGCTGGGGTCGTTTGACCCCAGTACTCTTTCCTGCCATGGCAGGGGGTCGGACTAGATGATCTGCTCAGGTCCCTTCCGACCCTAGAAACTATGAAACTATGACTCTAGTGCCCCAAACAGTGCAGGGGAGCAGCAGAAGTCCCTCATCTGAGGAATGCAGGCACTGTTCCCTTTGTGCCCCTGGGCTATAAGATACCTCGAACGAAGCCAAGAAAAGGCAGGAGGACCATGCCCCCATCTCCTCAAAACAGGAATGAGCTGCGTTCAGTGGTTACGGTTGGCCGAGCTGTATGAGTGGAAGGTTACACTCTCTTCTTAAAAGCTTGCTTAGGAAGGAAGACATGGATAAAAGAACAGGAGAGTCATTTGTATTAACACCATCACTCCCTGTTGTAGATTTATGGATAATTCAGAACTGCAGGAGCTTGAATGACTATGGACAAACGTACTAACAAAGTGGAGGGGGAGAGGTGTCAAAGACCACTGAATGCAACCAAAGTAGTAAACCATCCTGTCCCCGAAAGCATGTCTAATATAGAGAAGGATGTTTTCTTCTGTTGTGGGGGCCCCAACTTGGAGAGACATACAGTTTCTCAAAGGCTGTAAACACGTACAAGTCCCACACACCCATTAGTAGCTAATGATGCCGAAACCTCTAAAAATTATAGAAGGAAAATTATCCAACCCGAAGGGACTAAACCCAAGACAAGCCAACCCTATTCTGGACTGATCATGATGAATAAAGTTCAATTAATCACTACACAGAAAGCTGATGGTTGCTTAGAAACTAATGACCATGGGTGATGACTTTTCATATAGGCAAATAAAGGATGGTCTGAGCCAACAGCATATATATATATATATATATATATAAAAACACTTTGTGTTCCTAAAAGATTAATTTCCTCAAACCGAGAAAAACCATATGCAAAACCTGACCATGGAAAAAAAATAAGACAGGAAAACATGAAGTACACCTGGGAGTTCTTTGCAAAAAGTTGGCGAAAACCAACCACTCCCCAATCCAGAAAAACGACAAGTCTGGTTACAACCCGTCCTGGTTCAATGGCAAACTGAAGGCAGAAATCCTACTTTAAAAACAAAAAAGCAACATGCAACAAACACAAAAAAGGAAACTAAACAGCAACTTCCCTCAGCTCCTAACTTCTAAGTTATACCATTTTCTAAGAAAAGCTAAAGATATCATGGGAAAAACATCTGTGGTTGGCAGGGCTAAGGACAATCAAGAATTTGGGGGTTTTATTCATTCACTTATTTGATACATATTTGAGACAAAAAAGAAAGTCCTGGCAGTAGTGCAGGCCCATTACCAGACAGGGCTTGCAATTATATATGATCATTGTAATTGTATAGGAAAGGCAAAACTATTCAGTAAATACGTCTGTTCCTGCTTTTTTTTTTTTCCACATGCAGATCGTAGGGTTGTATCACATGAGGATAAGAAATATGTTCCAATCCATTATTAATCAGGGAGAACTGCTTCTTTTTCTCATGCTAGGCCACTGCAGTTAATAGACTTTCCAGCATCAGACACAACGTGGCCTGGGCCATAGTCCTGGAGAGGACTTCTGGGGTGCCCTGTTCCTATAGGAGCTGGCAGACCCACAAATGTGGAGGTCTAGTTGGGGCTGGTCCTGCTTGGAGCAGGGGGTTGGACAAGATGTGACCTCCTGCGGTCCCTTCCCCACCCTCATTCTCTATGACATCTTTGCATCTCTCTGTGAAGCCTATTGATGGCACCAAGCAGAAAGCAAAAGAAACATCTCAGAAAGCAGGAATTCAGAGGAGCATCTCGCTTCACCTAAAGCAGTGAGATTCCTGTGAAAAATCTCTACAACTTCACCACCCTGGAGAGCATAATTACCTCTGAGAAGGCAGTTTCCAAAGTACTTGGAGCAATCAGACCTGTTCTGGATTCAGAGTTTTACGGTGGCAGGGATCCAAAGAGCCATAAGTGGGCTGCACACAAGGAAAGGTCTGTTCTTAGAGAGATTAGCAATCAGGTTCTGCAGTGCATTCACACCGTTACCTTATACAGAAGTAGACAGAACAGGGGTCACTTCTTCTGGGTTAGATGATGCCTTCTGTTTTCCTCCCCACTGAAAGAAATCCTCACCTCAGGTGTAAGAAAAGCAGAGACTCCCAAAGCAGTGCTTGCTTTCCCAGTACAAATGTTGGACTATATACCCACTGGTCACTCAGTTAGGCTGGGAACAGGAGGAGGGGAGAAGGAGGCGGCACGATTTCACTTGCTGTGGTCCATTACATCCAAATATTTATTGGAAATAGCTGCTTAAACACGCGGTAGGCCTTCTCAAGTAAGCATGCAACTCCTTGCAAGCACGGTATGTGGGAAAGAGCTTGATGAGGTGAAACCAGTATTTATGAGATGGGAGTTTAAACGTTATGGATCTGATTGCCAGGCCTATACGTCAAGGTGCCTAGAAAAAAAAAGAAACTCTCTTGTCTGGAGAAGAGAAGACTAAGGAGGGATGTGATAACAGTCTTCAAAGACACGAAGGATAATTACAGAGAGGAGGGAGATGGGCTTTTCTCTGTGGCTGCAGGGGACAGGACTAGGAGCAAAAGCTTTAGACTGCAGCAGAGGAAATTTAGACTGGAGACGAGGAGGAACTTTCCAACTCTGAGGGCAGTCAAGCATTGCAACAAACTGCCTGGAGAGCTGGGGAATCTCTATCCCTGGAAATATTTCAAGAGTAAGTTGGACAGACAGGTGGCTGGGATGGTTTAGTTGGGGACTACTCTGCCCTGAACAGGGGGCTGGACTACACGACCTCTGGAGGTCCCTTCCAACCCTATGATCCAGCTAATGTAAATCATTTCTCAGAAACAACATCCAGCAGCTAAGGAACTTCAACCAAGTTTAGAGACTTCAATTAAGCCTCATAAACCCCCCGCTTCCTCCCAGGAGGCAGGTCAATATTTGAGACCTTCTACAGACAGGTAAACTTCATTTGATCACATTCGATTTGATCTTCCAATTTCTGTGCACAGGTGATTTGGCATCGCCATGTTGGCCAAGCTATAACCGGCCCTTTTGGATGGTCCTGCTAGGGCTCCAGCTCCATTTCAGAGCACTTGATTACACGTAAGCTCTCCTTCCATAACTTCAGTTGTGACCCGTCAGCCACCACGTCCAATGAAGCAACACTGATCACAAAACTGTTGCTTTTTAAGCCATTTAGTTACTTTTGTGTGATGCACAGAGTAGCAAGCCAAAAAGATCACAGCAGATGGAAGATCTCAGGCATCTACCTTTTTTCTGGTGTCAGGTGGTGCCATGCCAGCCAGTAAATACAGGCTCTCTCCTTTGGTGTTGGCGTCACATCCTGTTATTATTTCACAACCGCTGTCGTTTAGAACTAGGCCCATTTTCTTAGCACGAACTGATCATTCCCATACTGGACGTACATACTTTGCAGTAGAATAACACAAGGCAATAGCAGTGGTTCATAATGTAGCTGGGTTCGCTCCCCACTTTGAGGTAGCCAGCTTTCAAAAAGCATAAGCTGAAAG